CCCTCCCTGGCCATGCCTCCGTCTCCGTCTCCATCTCCGTGTGTGTGTGTGTGTGTGTGTGTGTGTGTGTGCGTGTGCATGTGTGTGTGTGTACACCTTACTAGCTAAGGAAGTACTGAGTGGCTTCCAACCTCTGAACTTTTGTACAAAGCAAGGGGGCAGCCTCATCTGAATCTTTAGGTACAGTGGCTAAGGGTCCTTGTACTTCTTCACTGGCTGCCTGTTTTGAGTGTTACCAGTAAGCATTGGATCCATGGTCCTGTCAGTGAGGTCAGAAGCTGACTGGTCCTCACCACTGGCCTCCTGCATTTACAAGAGTGACCACACCAACCGCTATCTGTGCTTGGACACAGCACCAAGCGGAGTCTGGTGCCTTGAGGAAAGGTGTGTTTTCTGAGATGGAGTAACAGACCCTGACACTGCAGCAGGGAACCATCCTCACAGTCAGCTCACCAGCACATGGGCTCTGTCTGCTTCTGGGTACAGTGTTGAGGGGATTTCTTTAGCATCAGATACAGTTTGCTCTGTCCCTAAGGTTCATGTACTGGGAACTCAATCCCCAGTGACTGCTGGGAGATGGGTGGTACCTGGTGATGAATCAGGTCATGAGGGTGAAGCATGGATTAATGTCGGCACCCCAACTGAGTGGGCCAGGCATCTTGAGGGCACTGCTCGCCCTCCCTCTTCTGCCACGGTGGATGTGGTACAGAGGAAATGTATTAAGACAGCTCCAATTTTGTCCCAGGAGGGCTGATGTTTCCAAAAGTAACTTAGTAATTAAAACTAGATTCTAAAATGTTACAGCTGGAAGAGGAATTCCAAGATCTCCTGACCAAGGGGTGTGTAGCAGGATGTCATCCTTTCACAAGCAGCCTGTGTCTGTCAGAGTAGTCCTCAACAGCAGAAGACACAGGCACTCTCCACAGCTTTTTAAGAAGCGAGCAGAAAGGAGCTCGGGACGGGAATACTCACAGAGATACCAGTGTCCTTGTTCAAGATGACCTGCAGCAGGTGTGGTGGGAGGATGGGTGGGGCTTTGAACCTCTCTTCCGGTTTAGAGATGTAAGGCTCCTGGTGGTAGGGTCCTGGTGGGGAGCTGGACAGCTCTGTTGGGAGACGGTGACAAGACACTCAGACTGTAGGCTCTAGGGCTGCATGTGACTTGTGGTAGCCTCATCTAGCTCTGTCCTGGCCTCCTCAATCCAGATCTGTCTTTTCGTCAAAGGCATTAAAGGGACAGGAGAGCGCCTTGGAGTTAGAGTGCTTGGGATCAAGTGCCCAGAGCCAAGGAGCAGCCGTGCCAAAGCCGGATGTGTGGGCCAGACTGCCAGGGAGCGCTCCCAACGACCTGGCCTCTCTCGTCAGCACAGTAAGGCTTCCCTCTTACTTCAGGCTGAGTTTGGCAACTGCCACAAATTCTAGGCTTCAGGTGGGGATTAAGTGGTCCAGCCTAACTTACAAGGTCTCCCAGGCAGAATAAAAAGTCTAATGAGGTACTGACACACTAAAAAAATCACAATAAAGACCTATGTGTAAAGGCTTTGGCGCTACACTCCTGAGTCTGAGTGTCTTTACTATATAGGCACAGTAGAAGCTTCTGGAAGTGCAGTACCTCACCTCAGAAGCACCTCAAATCATGACAGCTGGTTGGCTAGGTGATGGTACTGAGCTGTCCCCCCTAATGTCAGGAAGAGTTCTGGCCACCTGATCCCTAAGCTGGCCCAGAACTTTCTCAACATCAATTTCTACGTCAGGCTCCTTTCACATCTCAGCACAAGAACTGAGGAGAGCATTAAATGCAGAAAGCTGAGCTATAAGAAATAAATACACGGCATTTAAAGCAACAAAACAAACAGGAAGTTTGAAGCTGATCTGGCTCAGCAGCAGAGGGCGGTGCAGTTTCTGCCTGCAGGTCATCCACCAGACCTTTAGCTGAAGGCTTTGGTGTAAAGTGTGAAGTTCCCTTTCAGCCGGCAGGACTGTGTGCACTGCCTCCAGGCTGCACCCTCTGCCTGTCTGAAATGTGTCATCCAGGAGCAGACAACGACCCCAGTAAGACAGCACTGCTTTTGGACTTTTAAACCCAGATCCGTAACCTGACCATTAACCACTGCCAGCTGAGCCCACCAGCCAATTACAGCTGTGTTGTCAGAACTGCTAACAGTGAGAGATTCCAGAGACACAGAGGTGAGGATGGGAAAGCCCTCTGTAGACTGATGGCTGGCCACTGCTAAGAGCTTATCTTACTGACTCCCACAGGGCCCAGGAAGCAGCCCCCATACAAAGAAGGGAAGCACACCTAACACCCATCTGGGTTCTAACACATGGTTTCTCTCCTGAGCTGTCCCCCTGACCTTCAGGGATTCTCTTCTTCCTGGGTGTGGGCAGAACATAGGTCACTGGAGCTCCATGGTTAGAAGACGCTAGTTTACCAGGACTGAACAGAACAGGTTTCCAGAAAATCAAGTTGTGCCATGTAGCCTGTTTTCTATAGGGAGCCACTTCCAGTCAGGAAGCCAAACAAGCGTGAACGGACTGCACCAGTGACAGCCAAGGTCACCGAGGTGTCGTTTATCACCTGTCAGCCTGCAATTCTCCAGGCACCAACAGCAGGACACGAGCTGACAGTTTCCCTGGCACGGGTTCATTACTGACCCAACGTGTCCTCTCGGGCCTCTTCAGGCCTGCCTACGGCATAACATCACATTTAGGTCTGTTCTCCAGCCAAGTGGAACTGCAGAGGACCCCACAAGACCAGGGCAGTGACTTATGGCTTCTTTGGGTTAAACTCCAACAGCCAGGGCTGAACAGCAGGAAGGAACTGCTGTGGCCCAGACAGCTACAGCTGTCCACCTGGGTGGGCAGCTCTTGCTCAAGTGTGAGAGGCAAGGGAAACAGGGTATGTCCAGGCCACACAGCCCCAGCCTGCACACACGTGGGATAAGGTAACTGTTCATACCAGACACATCGGAGCACTTTTGGGAATCCACCATTAAAGCATCAAATACTTCAAAGTCAGTTTTCTTCACTTGAATGATGTTGTTAACTGTGCCAAGCTGGCTGGTTACTATTGGCTGGGAAGAGACAGACAGGCAGAAATCATAACATGGAAAGTCTGTGGAGTTCTTCAGAGGACTAGAATTCCTGGCTAGAAGGCCTCACTGCCTGGCTAACTACTCTTGGTCAATTTAACCAATGAGCTGGCAACTGGTGCTATCTAACTCAGAGCCACACACAGGGAAGAGGAACCTGAGAGGACGCCACAAGGGAGGTGATTGGTGTTGGTTGTGCAGTACCCAGAGGGCCGAGGGCTGCAGGCAGAGTACCTCAGAAGGATCGTGGGTCCATTGCCCATCCACGAAGAACTTGTACTGATGCTCTCCTTCAGGCAGGTCCAGGATGGCTACAAAGTTATTTTGGCTGCAGAAAGAAAGCAGTATTTCAGCTGGGTGGGCTGCTCTGTGACTCCAGGTACAACCAGGAGTTCAGCTGCAGAACAAACATGGCATCAATTCAGACAATTCTCCGTCACAGCCCTGACCTAGGAAAGCCACTAATGGGGCAGCAGGCAGGAGGTCCCAGGAAATTCACTTTGCTCAGATACGAGGGATCTAGAACCCTAACACTGGAAGATCAACACACGGCCACTGCTGCTTATGTCTACATGCAGTATGCCACTGGGCAGGCCGGGTGCCACGGAGGGAAACAGGCAAACACAGGCTGCAGAACCTTCCCTTCTGTCAGAGTGCCATGGACAGGGACTGAGTCAGTATAACAGGGCACACAGACACTCTCTACACGGACCTGTCAAACTACCCTGCCACTCCTGAGCTTGCAGTGGACTTCTGTGTCAGCCCTGGAAACAAAGGCACACTGACAACAATCAGGCTTGGCCCAGCAGGGCACGGCTTCTCCCTGTTTGTCAGAAGTTGTCACTAATGAAGGTGTGGAGACACAAGTCCACACCAGGGTTCTTGATAAAGCATCTCACTATCCCCTTGCTAATGGTGTCTTCAGAGCATGTATCTCCCAACCTTCCAAAACTAACACACAGGAGTCAGTTAGGAGGGACCCGGGAGGTTCTCTGGTCCAGGAGTCCCATACAGAAGTGACTGTTTAATGCAGTAAGGGCTCAGATCCACACCCCTAAGGGTCCCAGCCCAGCACTCTCTCCAATGCACTACGAACAACTTTCTCAGAAGAAACATATAGCTGAGTATCAGAGCAGAGCACAGAGCTACTGTCCACTGCAGTCATTACCTCCTCGTGAGGGGAAGTTTGCTCCAGTTGTTGAAGGACCCAGACAAGTAGACCTCCTTCCCACCTCCTGTCCATCGGAACACGGTGGGCCGGGCCTGGGCGGGGGCTTTGTCATTCACCTCGAGATCGTGCTGCCAGGCCAGGAATTCCTCCTTCTCTGGAGCCTAAGAAGCAGAGCCATCAGGCGGCCAGCAGTGAGCTCCCCATCCCAGACCGTTAACTAAAGGGCCAACAGAGTCCAATCAGGCAGCTCTGCTCGTGGCTGTGGCACACAACTTGTGTCTGTTCCCCCACGCCAAAGGAGATAATAAAACTAGCCGCTCTGTTGTACCGTCAAGTCTGACACACGCGGTGTTTAGCCATTAGCTACCGTTATGCAATCAGACTTCACAGAAACTTGAGAGGAAGTGACAAGGCCTACTCAGAAGAAGACTGCCGTGAGTCCAAGGTGGTTCAGTACACTCCATTTCCCTCGCTAAGCAAGACTCTGGAGTTTAAGTCTAAGAATTTACTAGGCATGATCTCGGAGCTGATAAAACTGACACACTCAGATGGTAAGGGAAGACCTGGGGGACAGAGGAGAACTAGATAAATTAAACAGACTGGTCCCTTCGTTATGGCAAATGGTAATACCCAGTGAGGTAGGACAGAGTAACTCACTCCAGCCAGGAACACATCCAACCCTGGAGTGAGACAGTTAGATATTCGTCATTTCTATTCTCCAGTCAGAGAAAAAGCCAAACACTGGCTGTCTAGGGCGGGAGAAAGCCCTGAAGGAAGCCCTGAAGAGACGCTTCTATTACTGCTCAGCTCTTATCTGAAAGATGCCCCAAGTCTTTCAGATAACACACTGGAATTGCTTGAGAGCGAGAGCGTTGGCTCTCCACCTTCCCCACGCTGCACCCCTTTGGTACAGTTCCTCATGCTGTGGTGACCCCAACCATAAGATGATTTGGTTGCAACTTCATAACTGTAATTTTGCTACTGTTACGAATTGTAATGGAAATATCTGATAGGCAGGGTATCTGTTAGTTATGCTGACCCCTGTGAAAACATTGTCAGACTCTCAAAGGGTGGCGACCCACAGGTTGAGAACCACTGCTTTAGGGGACGAGTGACTGTAGCCACAATGCTGAACTGGGATAGTGGGAAGAATCTCAGACTTGATCCACCAGACACTACTGATGAAGAGAGAGAGGATGCCGGTTAAGTCCATCCTCCCTGGCCCCATAGAGAACAGCACCACCACACATTTCTTTTTAAAAAAGAAAAGTAAATTTACTCAGCTCCCTGCAAAGGGAGCAGAGAGCACTGTGGGCATACAACTGCTACATACAACACAAATACTTTTCACTTCCTCTTAAATAGCCCCGGGCAAGAATGACTTCTAGGGGTGGGGACAATTGTGACTCCTTGGAATCTGGCTAAAGATCACTGTACACACCTTTCCCCTAAAGCAACAAGCTCAGTAAACAAGTTATCACAAGATGTAAAAGCAGGCTCTTCAAAGTCAGACCCAAAATTAAGATCTGGGGAATAGTAGCATGGGTACTTAGCCCAATCAGGGGGTGGGGAATAGAGGGAGTAAAAACAGAGCAAGCGGCCAGGCAATTACCCTGTTTAAGAAATGGGATTAGAAGGCAACAAGCCAGGTAACAGAGACTGCTGGTCAGCGCCAACCTTCCAGAATGCAGCTTATTCTGAGCAATTAGTTTTTTTTTTCTTCTTGAATCACCGAATGCCCTTGGACTGGGCCCCACAGTCGGAAGCACTGGCCACATCACTGTGGTTTTAAGAGAATGTGGCTCAGACAGGAACTTTCAGCTTGGTCTGCAAAAACTTGTTTGCTCTGCTCTGCTTAAAGTCCAAGGCATTACTTCAGTAAAGCAGGAGAGAAGTGGGGGTAATTAGCCGCTGGCTACCGTTCAGAGCGACTCCTGGTCACTGACCTCAAGTGGAACTGCCGAATCTAAAAATCAAGTTAGCAGGGTAGACTGACTGACACCGGCAGAACCAAACACCTCTGGCAGTCAGCTGGCCAACTTCATTTTCAGCTTAACGTATGTGCTCCCGTCTTACCTCCAAAACGGAACACTAAAACTCCCAACCCAACTTTTGCAAAAGCCGGTCGGCCTGAAGTTGAGGAAGGAAAAAAAAAAAAAGGGTGTCGCGTAGCCTCGCAATCAATTACACCTAAGAGAAAAGCTAGACACTGGTGCTCAATTACAGTTTAGCTCGACTCTTATTAATTAAGGATCTCAAACTCGGTCCCAGAGCTGCCTTCTCCTTAATGAGGTTCAACGAAGCCCGGGGTGACTCTCCCATCGGTAATTAGGCACAGGTTCCCGGACAGCAAAGAGGGCTGTGACAGGGCCAGCTCCCTCCGGGTGTGACGCTAGCAATGTGGCGGGAACAACAGCCAAGGGGCTCTCCGGTCCACACCTTGATTTCCTCGGAGTGGAAGATGTCGGCGTCTTCGGGGCTGTCCATCAGGATCTTGGGCCTGTCCCCATCCTTGGAGCCCCCCGAACTGTCCCTCCGCGGCGTCTTGTGCCCGGCCTGCCGCTCCAGCGCGGCGCGCTCGCTGCTCGTGTTGCCCATGGCGGAGGGTCTGCGGAGGACACGGGGAAGCGGGAAAGGCCTGGACCCCCCGAGACCGCGGACCACACCCCTCCGACCGCGCGCGCTCGCCCGCCGAGCCCCGCTTTACCTGCTCGGTCGGCCGCGGCTGGAAGATCAGACGAGATCGGCAGCGTAACCTGACACTCCTCGGGCAACTCCCCTCCGCCCCTTAACAACTTCCGCTTCCGGCCGGGGCCCCGCGAAGGAAGGGTGGTCTGCGCGGAACGGAGCTCTGGAGGCTTGCGTGACGTCACTTCCGTTTCTGTTCTGGGAGCAAGCGTTCGTCCACGACCTCCTCCCGGCCGCTCAGCGCGCAGCCGCAGCGGGTCGTTCCCGGCCGCTCCCGGATCGAGCTTTCTGATGGCCGGCAGGAGGCGCTCGCGAGCTCGCTTCTTCCCGCTCCTGACCCAGCGAGGAGGCCACTGTTGCCGCCGTCCACCCTCACTCCAGGAAAGGGCAAATCGAATTGCGAAACCCGGGACCTGGGGAGATGGTACGGCGGATTAGAGCACTTGCTCACACTTGCTCTTGCAGAGTGCCCGGGTTCGGTTCCGGGTGCTTACGTGGTGGCTGACAACTATTTGCAGTTTAAATTCCAGGGGATCCTGGCGCCCTAGGCGGTGCACACATAGACCGGTGGGCAGAGCACTCATACACATAATCTTAAAAAAAAAACAGAAGCAAAAAATAAAACCACGTTTAGGTCTCTCCCGGCGATGCACTGACTCTCACAATTGAGGTTTTTTTTTTTTTTTTTTGGTTTTTCGAGACATGGTTTCTCTGTGTAGCCCTGGCTGTCCTGGAACTCACTCTGTAGACCAGGCTGGCCTCGAACTCAGAAATCTGCCTGCCTCTGCCTCCCAAGTGCTGGGATTAAAGGCGTGTGCCACCACCGCGCTGCTACAATTGAGTGTTATTAGGATAACCTAGTGCTCCTTCAAAAGGATGGCCCCTCCAGACTGGCCAAATCTGACTTTATGTAGACTAAAGTGAAGGATGCAGACCATCTTGTGGGTGTTCGAGAAAAATGACAGACCGTAAGATTTCTGGGAAACTGGCATTATTAGTGGGGTTCTGCTTGTTTAAAGTTGAATGTATGACCTGTTGATAGGTCATTTTTCAAGGTGCCTTGAAGCTACACTGACCACATTATGCATAAAATACATTAGTGCTTAGTGTTTAGTAAAAGGACAGTCTCTTGTAATAAAATGTTCTCATTTTCAGTTCGTCTTTTGTTTTAAAACATTGTCTTGTGGGTTTCGTTTGTTTGTTATGCATTGGATTCTCTAGCCATGTCTTACATTTTATCCATATATATGTTTCGAGATTTTTGTTTTTGTTTTTGTTTTTTCAAGACATGGTTTCTGTGTGTAACGGCCCTGGCTGTCCTGAAACTCACTTTGTAAACCAAGCTAGCTTTGAATTCACAGAGATCCTCTTCCTCTGTCTCCCAAGTGTTGAGATTAAAGGTGTACACCACCATGCCCAGTGACCATCTATATTTTGAATTATCTGTAATGCGACACATTTTTGTTAAGGGAACCAGGGACCCCGATGTCTGACATACGGTCTTCTAGAGGGACTTTAACAGTATCTATCTAAAACAAGGAAACTTAAAAATTTTTTTTTGTTTGTTTTGTTTTTGTTTTTCGAGACATGGTTTCTCTGTGTAGCCCTGGCTGTCCTGGAACTCACTCTGTAGATCAGGCTGGCCTCGAACTCAGAAATCCGCCTGCCTCTGCCTCCCAAGCGCTGGGATTAAAGGCGTGCGCCACCACTGCCCGGCGAAACTTAAAATTTTATGGACAATTTCTAGTGAATTTCTATTTAAAAAACGATATACAAGCATGTTTTTCTGAAGCATTTATTCTAATCACTACACTAACGCTAAGATGCACATTTTCAAAAATATTTTATCGCTCTGAAATCGGCTGCTCCTAGCCTTAAAAGAATCTTTGTGCCCTTCTCCCAGCCGTGAGCAGGCCCGAGACCTTGTTTACCACAATAGACCAGATAATAGGACCTAGGTGGAACTAACCACCTTGGCTGCATGGCACTTGAAAGAACTGCCCCTGGGCTTGCCTTGAGACTTCTCCGGCTGGCCGTGAGAACGGATTATCCCACCCATCTCTCCTGGCTGAAACTAGGAAGGGTTCGGGCGGGGTCTTTCCCTTTAAATTGAAAGCTTAACATTAAACCATAGAGCCTTGATCAGAGAACTTTGTCTTGGCTTCATCTTTTCTCGCTCTCCGTCCCCTTTTCGTTCCCAGCCCTTTTTTCAGGTGAACCCGTTTGACTCGGTCGCAGGCGGCTACAAATCTTAGACTTGATGAAATAGAGAAACTTAAAACCTCAGAAGTTTGTTGATTTAAAAATGGCTAACTGCATTTTGTAGAATATTTAAGCAGCATTACAACAAGAATAGAAAAGAAGAAAAAAAGACAATTGCTGTATGTGGTGGAACACCCCTGAAATCCTAGTACCACAGAGGTTCAAGAAGGATAGTCGTTTGAGGCCAGTTTGGGCTACATAGTGGTCGCTAATCTCAAAAATAGATAAGTGTGGGGGTGGGGTTTGGGGGAACTGTTTGATGGTTCAGTAAAGGTACTTACCAAGCTAGTGTGGCAACTTGAGGTTCATCTCCCGCATGTGCACGAACACACACACACACGCCTCCACACACAAAATTTTAAGCATAAAGACAACCAACCAGCATTGTGGGTGAGCATACAGAGATGTTTCTAACACCCCACATTCCTTTTTTTTTTTTTTAAATATTTATTTAGTTTACTTTATTTATAAGTACACTGTAGCTATTTTCAGACACACCAGAAGAGGGCATCCAATCTCATTACGGATGGTTGTGAGTTACCATGTGGTTGCTGGGATTTGAACTCAGGACCTCTGCAAGAGCAGTCAGTGCTCTTAACCACTGAGCCATCTCACCAGCCCCACACCCCACATTCCTAAGCCAAGCCCCAGAATGACAGGAGAGCGTGGGCTCTGCAGTCAGCCTGACTGGGTTCAGATTCTGAAGTTTACCATTTAGGAAGTTCCATCATGACGTCTATTGGGAAATGGGCCCCAAAGTAACAGCTATCTTAGAGGCCTGTTCTGTAACCCACTTTCATAAGAGTCATGGAACCCAGGTTAGCGCTTGACCCTCGAACACCCTCAGTGGGTGTGGCTTTTTTTTTTTTTTTTTAACAGCACAGTCCTTTTTGAAGATGGAAAGTTCTGGAAGGATACAAAGGTAGCAAACACCGTGCCTAAAAACACAGAAGGGAGACTTTTGCCTTTTAGCTTGTGTGTTTATACACTTCCCTTTTTATTATATTTGCCAGTGCGGCTGTGAGCAAAAATAATAAGACATACTCCAACTCTAAAGGAATCCTTATAGAAGAGGGGTGGGCCACAGGAAGGGGAAGGCGCAGGTCAGAAGGCGTTCTCTCTGAGCTAGAAGAAGAGCTGAGTGAGGACCAAGGAGAATTTTCTGGAACCAACGACCTTCTGAATTTACTCCATGAAGTCTGGACTGTTGAACCTTCTGGCAGAACTGAGCTGGAAGAGATGAGCGTGGTTCCTACATCCTGGAGTAGGCAGCAAGGAGCCCAGATGCTGTGGGTTCTCTGGAACAACTGGAGAGTGGCTCGTGTGCCCAGAGGACCCTTATCTGAGCTCTGCAGATGCTTTGATGTGCCTGGACAGTCTCAAGACTTCTGCTCTTACTCAGATAACTGTGAAAGCACCGTCCCGTGATATCCGACACCCACGTGCCTAGCCGGAATATCTTGTCGGTGTTTTCCAGTCAATGAGACAGTCCAGTTCCCGGGATAGCACAAATGAACTCTGCTCTGAGATGCCCACTACAGACGGCAAGTGGGCACTGAGATCTGGGCTAAACCCCTGCTTCTCAAGACTGTGCTGTCTGGATGTATAACTATACCTCGTGGGCTGACTCTAGCCTCTTTCCAACAGAAAAAATCAACATAGGAATCAGAGGTGCTGGCTGGAGAGATGGTTCAGTGTGTATAGGTGCTTGTAGCCTGATGACCCGAGTTCAACCCCCAGACTCAAATTGGTAGAAAGAGAGAACAATTTAACAGTTGATAAATTATGTGCCTCTCCCTTTCTTTCTAGAATTAGAAGTAGCTCATCACCTGCCGAAAACCATGGTACTCATAATTAAATTTCAGAAAATCACTCTGAATGTATTAAGAGACATCTTAGTTATCAGAATATTTTGAAAATTGTAGAGAGAATCTCTTATAAGCAACCTTTCAAATAAAAACAAAACAAAGCCGGGCAGTGGTGGCCCACGCCTTTAATCCCAGCACTTGGGAGGCCGAGGCAGGCGGATTTCTGAGTTTTGAGGCCAGCCTGGTCTACAGAGTGAGTTCCAGGACAGCCAGGGCTACACAGAGAAACCCTGTCTTGGAAAACCAAAAAACAAACAATAAACAAAGCACCCCCCCAAAAAAAACAAAACAAACAAAAAACCTAAAACCCTATGGCCAATGAACTGAGGCAGGAAATAGGAGGTGGGACACTGGTGGGAAGAGAGAGGATTCTGGGAAATGAGTGAAGATGCTACAGATTGTCCTGGGAACATAGAGAAGGCCAGACGCGTGGAAGCTGAGCAGAGGTAACCAGCCACATAGAGGCTCTCAGGATAGAATAAAGTGGAGGTTCCCCCAGAAAGATGTGACAGACAAGACAGATGCAGGTAACAAGCCACGTGGCAGAATGTAGATTAGAATAAATAGATTGTTTTAAATTATCTATTTGGAGAAAAGCCTAGCTGTATGGCTGAGGTATTTGTAAATATATTTTGAGTCTGCGTCTTATTTCTGGGAACATGGGCCTGGGAAGAAAAACCAGACCTAACTTCTACAGAAGATTTAGTTATTTTTACTTTTTTTTTAAAATTTTTATTTTTTGTTTTTCAAGACAGGGTTTCTCTGTGTAGCCCTGGCTGTCCTGGAACTCACTCTGTAGACCAGGCTGGCTTCGAACTCAGAAATCCACCTGCCTCTGCCTCCCAAGTGCTGGGATTAAAGGTGTGCACCACCACTTCCCGGCTATTTTTACTTTTTTATGTCTATGAATGTTCTGCCCACATATGTGTGTGTTCACTATATGTGTGCCTGCTGCCCACAGAAGAGGGCACTGTCTCCCCTGGAACTGGAGTTAAGGAAGGTTGTGAGCTGTCATGTGGATGCTGGGAACTGGACCCATGTCCTCTGCAGGGACAAGCAAGTGCCCTTAGTCACTGAGCCATCTCTTCACACATGGTATGGTGGTTTGAATATGCTTGGCCCAGGGAGTGGCACTATTAGGAGGTGTGGCCTTGTTGGAGGAGGTGTGACCGTGCTGCAGTAGGTGTGTCACTGTGGGCGTGGGCCTTAAGGCCCTCATCCCAGCTGCCTGGAGGTCAGTATTCTGCTAGCAGCCTTCAGATGAAGATGTAGAACTCTCAGCT